GAAAAGGAGCCGCCATGTATAATTGAAATTTTACGGCGCGCTTTATTTAAGTGCCACAGATGCTTTCTCATGAAGCACCAGAATAGTTTCGAATTCTTTTTGCGAAATATGAAATTTGCAAGATTACAGACATATCACGTTTTGCAATATTTACTTTTTATACTTTTATATAAAAAGTGTACCTATATTGAAGAAATATTGCAATATGTAAGAATACAAAATGTGTGAATTCTCCAATCTAATAATTAAGTATAAAAATATCTCAGATCACATAAAGTTATTTCAAGGATGAAATCGAAGTATGAAGAAATGAGAAAAACAGAAATGTAATGTCTAATGCATTAAATAAAGCGAAAGCGTAAAATGACTCAGAAAATGTTAAATGTAAATATTATCTAATATATTTGTCATTAACTTGCAAAATTACTAATAAATAATTACATTAGATAGAGTGATCGTTTTATCTTTAGAGTGTGCAAAAATAATGAACTATATTTTTCAAGATAAAAGAGGATATCGCATTCTTCATATAAATTAGTGTGTATGAACTATATCATTATCATGAATTATATCATTGCTATAAACTTTAGCACATGATCGTCAACATAATTATTTATTTTGTCGATGGCGAAAATTACATTTAGAAACGGGGGTAAATATTAATTTTAAATAAAAAACTTATTAAAATTATAAAAGTTATAAAATTATAAAAATTATAAATTTTACAAAGATATAATATCATCAGTATATACATTAATCGAAGCGAAGAAAAATGCATCGTCACAAATGCGTTTGATCGCCTATCGAACTTGTACATATCTGACACTCGCTGCAATCATGTCGCGTGCTCCTCCACATGACCCGACCCCACTCGTATAAACAGAAAAGGCCAAACGATAAATTCCTACTGGTGACATATCTATCCCATTCTGTTGCTTCTATAAAAAGCGGAAAAAATTGCGTCATTGGTGTCATCAATTTTTATTTCAATGCAAATTTCAAAATTATTTGAATAATGCTGGAATAACCTCGGAATTTATTCGGAAAAGAAAAGAATATCTAAAAGTTTTTTTTTTAAATATTTAATTTGTCTCTTCATTTTTTATATTTGTAATTAAATGTCTGGGATTACACCAGATGCATTATGTTATAAATATCCATGAAAAAATATTCCAAATGCAGTAATGAATATCTTTAACAAAATTTCATATTATTATTCAAAATGTTTATTATATAACGTTTACCTAATTATTTACGAAATTAATGGATGATAATTCAATCTGATCATTAGCTGGATGAAAAATTTCTTCTTTTCATCTTTCTGTGCGTGGAAGAAAAGAAAATCACTTCGAACACGTGACGATGCATCTCGATAAAGTGCAACGCGCCGTAAATAGAGATGTAACGAGGCATGTCGAATCGCGAATTAAGACCGTGAGTTAAAGTCTGTTCATTCCGCGGTCTCTTCGGGAACGATAAAAATATCACGGCCCAATATATCACGCTCGAATACGCAACGATGAGTCTCAGGAGGAAAATGCAACACGCTTGCCGCGTGTCATCAAATCGATGAATAGACGTGCAACGAAGCATGTCGAAGATTTATTGCTTGCAAACGCGATAATGAAAGCATTGACAAGATGAAGGCATTGTTGATGAATCTGGATTATCGATTATTGTTCGATGGAATTACATAAAAGTCTTGCTATTTAAAGCGAAGTTACAATAATTTTGGCTAATATGAGATAAAATTTTAATCTAATTTCTTCCCGGTAACGTGCATCAATTTATTAATATTTTATTACGCGAAAATAATTATAATTTTGTGTGTGTGTGATTACTGATCATAAAAATATTATATTAAATAGATATCATCATTTTTTAATATTGCTCTTTCATACATAAATAAAAATGACTAATTATATAGCTATTACCAAATCAAATTTTATCAAATTTTATTTTTTTGTTTAGTATATATATATATATATATATTATATTATTCATATAATGGATAGTTATCGATTAATAACGAAAATGGATGAATCACTCTCTTATCGTATTGTATTATTCAACGATTTGATGATATATATTGTTGATGCATCGCGCATATTTCAACTTCGGAAAATTACACGAAAATAATAATATGACTTATAGTAAGAAATGATAAGATTTTTTGTGTGATTTGTTAGACCAAGCAATCTATCCTTGCTACATCATTGATAGATGGAGCAAAATGCATGATAATATTGTGTGATATATAATCTCGACTCTTACTTATATACATATATACTTATATGACAAACGATTTCGTAAACAGTATATAGTATTTATGTTTTTTATAATAAGTTTTCTCTATACAATTCTCTCATACCCCGCACCCCCCGTAAAAGTTATTATCGCAATTATTAATATTTTAAATCCTCTATAATTCAATTTTAATTCTTTATTCTTGTAAATATTTGTCTCAGAGAATCCTTTTATTTTCTAGATATATTTAATCTAGTTGTTCCAATCATAACTTAATTACAGCCCTGTTTTCCCGACCTGAAATAACAAGATTTCTGTTACTTACATTGCTTAATGTTTATTACATTAATTATACCAGTTTCTTGTTACAAATTGTTATTAAATCATAATAATAAAAATAATTACGCGTCGTGATAAATATTTATATCTAAATGTATTTAATTTAATGAGCAGACAAAAAATGACCATCAAATACATATACCGATCATCGAATTAAGTCTCGTTTAATCGCTTCAGTCATGGTAAACCGATATCCTAGGCTAGCTTTGTAGCTCTTATCTCGATTGATTTTTTATAACAGGTAATCTGACGGTACTGCTTCCTTCGTGCTTTTCCGAGAGAAATGAGTTTCTCTCCGAATGTTCAGTAATAGCGCATTTGGTTCCGCTTTTGCAAGTGAGATTCGCAAACTGATAATACATCTATTATCTGTTCATTAACGATGAGCATCAGTTACATTATATTCCAGGTCTATAACACGGGAAATCAAACTTTTCGATATTATCCGGTTTATATTCCTGGTCCAGGACAGAACCGTGCAACTTTTGAGGCATCTCCTATTGTAATCGATATGCGTTCTCTCGGCGCAAAGATACGCACGCAAGTGCAATTTAGGTGACTTTGCGCTGATACCTGAACTGTCCGCGCTATTCATGGTCCGCCGATTCTTAAACGGCGCGGACACTCTGCCGTTTGGTTCCGGTCTGGTACATACAAACCGTGGTACATATACGTGTCTCATCTCGAGCCCGGTTCGCCCGCGGAACCGGTCTTCAGAAAAGGAAGAGCGACAGCGCGCGAGGATCGCCGGTTCGCCGCGCTCGAAACTCGTAATTCTACTCCGCGAGTAACATGATTACACGTGTATTCTACGGCGAGTACACGCGGCCGTCGTGTCGTACGCAAAAAAGTATATCAACGACAAAATTGTGCGTAGAACGGCAGACGCGTGTATTGCGAGATATAATATTCTAGCTCTAGCATAATTAACTCTTTTTTTAACCTTGATTAGATTTAAATGTATGCAGAATTATAAATTGCAAAAAATTGCGCAGATTGCGACTATCTTAAGTGGATCACATTAATTTTTTTAATTATATTACAAAGAGAGAGGCTTATAATAGTTTTATTTCGCCGTATGCATAAACTTCTCTTTGTAATATAATTAAAAGGATAAATGTGATCCATTTAAGAAATTATAAAAGATATATGTTCAAAATTTTAACTCATAATTGTAAGATAGTTTTTACCTCACATTGTGTTATTTCTCTATCATCTATTGTCTTTAAGATCGATAAACTTATATATTTGAAGAGAATCGTTAATAATTGCAATAATTATGATAAATAGTGGTTTTCACCAAATTTTTGCTAAAGAGGAAATATTACATCTTATCACGTCCCATTTTATCTAAAGCTCGCATTAATAAGATATATAATAAATCTTATTTATATATTGTTCAATTACGATAGCTTTCAATTACTTATTTCTGGCTCAATTTATAGTCAGGCTATCGCATCGTATCTTAAAAGAAAAATGTGCGACATGCGCGACATGAGATAAATTATTTTACAACGTATTTTAATGCACATTTGTAAATGAGATTGACGATATCGCAATTTGATGCAATATATAAAGATAATAATTGATAATTGAGCAAAATATGTTAATACACAAATTATGCGTAATTTAAACTTTAAACTGTTAATATATAAAAGTTCTTGGCGACTGTGTCTTTATTATCGTAAAGGAAAATGCGATTAGCAAATCGATGAATGTATAAATATCTGTCTCATCGACAACTAATTGGCACATTCGATCGATATAACAATCAAATAGTTTTAAGACTATATCCACGTGATCTAGGAGTGATCCGAATGATTGACGAAATCTCTGGCAGTCGAGGAGCAACAATCCTCACAGTTTTCTTTCTAACGTTATATCGTAGCGGGACACACGATTTCGCCCACGACGACGTGGAGAAATTAATATTAACAGGATCTTGGCGCCAATAAACTTCAGACGCCAGAGTTACTTTAAGAGCAGTATAATTCCAGTTTCGTTCGATTTGTCACGAATAATATTTAGCGACTACTTCTATCATTTCTTAATTCTAACTGTAATAGAATAATTAGAAAGTGTGCAAAAGAAAATATATCGTCGATTATTATTTCATCATAAGATGTTTCAAAAAATATAGAAGAAATTATATAAAATAATACAGAGAACATAAAATTATATAAAGTCTAATTTTTTTAATATAGTATTTTTATAATTCATATATGTATGTATAACTCTTTGCTATGTAATAATTCGAAAATATCTAATTTTAAAATATATGAGAGAAATTTCCCTCAGTTCTTTGAAATTTCCATGACTTTTATATGATGCGCGTGAAAACTGAAAAATTCATAAAATCAATCACTTAGATCATTGCCATTATTTTTTAACAGCGTTTCTTTTTTTCTTTTCAGATCTAAATGTGTTCCATAGCAATGCCGGCCGAACTGATTCTGGGGCACAGCCCTCCGGTGTACAGTTCTTTACTGTACAGTCCCCTAGTAGTCACGGCGCCCACGATTACTAGCAGAAAGGTGCCCCCCAGAATCAGACCATGCCTCTCTTCAGGATCTTTGCCCCTGGACAGTTTGCGAAACGATGGCAATGGCAAACAGAAGAAACGGGTGGTGTTCGCCGACGATCGCGGTCGTCCCCTCACACAGGTATTTACACTAGAATTGTTATTTAAATTAATTATACGGCGAAATCGATCTTCTTATGCAACAGATTCGATTTTATCATTCGCATATGTGTTTCGCAGCACCTGGTGACTCGTTTCCAAGAAGCAAAGAAAAGAGAATACATAAACTTCTTTAATGAATAAACCTGTGTGTGCGTGTGTGTGTTCATCTTGTATCATGAATCACTGTTGTACTTTTCGTGAAGTAATGCGCTAATATCTTATCTTAGGAACCACATAAATCATGGTATGGTATTATGCTGGTATCCGCCAGCTTTTTGATCATTTAAACTGTGTTACATGTATATTAATAAAAAATGTAAATTGGATTTAAGTCAAAAGCAAGTGCCAAGAATCACTTTATTTAATCCGTCTTACTATGCCAAAATATTTAATAGTAACCGTGCAGTTATTGTCAAAATTAAACTTTGTGGACGAATTTATTACTTAATATTCAATTCACTACACACTAATATAATGCAGCAACTTTAAAGCTTTAATTGATATAAAAAATGTTTCTTGAATTGAATGTTCTTCCTCAAATGTCCAAATTTCGAATTAATATATTACTCGCGAAATAAATTTAAAAAATAATTGAGAACATTCTCATGCGAACATGGCTATAGAAATAAATTATATTTTATAAAAATTAGTTACTTCTTTACTGGAATTTGATATTAAAGAGTTTTTTTTTGGTATTGGTTGCTCTTAAAATATTTCAATTCCGAATTTATTATTTATTATTTAATCTAAATAACCGATTCGTTATATTTATCTGGTGAACATATATATAAACTTTTAATAATTTTTCTATAATTCATTTAAAAGGTTTAAGTATTAAATTCGAGACTAGCAGATAAGAAATTTCTGTTTTTTGATTGGCTACGCGTCAAAAGGAATTTCTACCTGCGTACTAATAGTTTGTACTTAATCGCTTTAGGCCAGCCTTTCTTGCTCTTGTACTGCCAGTTTTTTGTTCGATTCTAAAAAGTGCAAATTGATATTTCGAAAGCATACCAGATACGTGTGTATCTTTTTCAAAAGTAGAATCTTTTTATTTGCAAGCATTTTATTAGCTATTTACATTTTTTGATATATTTTATCAATATGATATCAGAGAAATTGATAAAAGACCTATCACGTATCAAATTGAACAGGCTTCGTAAATCTAAGGTACGCTATAACCTACAATATTATATCAGAATATATTATCTACATTTGTTTAAAGTTTAAAGTCTTATCTCACATTATATTTTTACGGCGCGAAAATTCTTGCTAATTAATGTACATTAATTATAGATTTGCGAAAGGATAGTATTATAGAAACTACTGTGTTGGTTATTCTATATAGCTATTCCACGTGGCATTATTTCATTCCTTGTTAATATAGCACACACAAATTGTTATTGTTATTATTAATAATAAACTTGCTCGGTTACGAACAAGTAATTTCTTTTCATATAATTTGTTCGTATTTGCATGAGAAAGAATGTTTTCAATTATAAGTTTAAATTATAATTTCGAGAATAAAGAGAGAAAGAGAGAGAGAGAGAAAGGGAAAGTAAATTCGAGTCTGAGTCATTTGGAATTATTATCATATCCAATGGAAACAGTTGCGTCCAACAATTTGTACCCTATTATTTTTTTCTATCTTTCAATATTTCGTCCAATCTTTCGTACAGATTCGCGTAATGTCAGAACCAAGCCACGTGCCTCCACTGTGGAGTACGGCCTACGTGGCTGGCCTGACCGGAGGTCTGCTCGGTTCGTCCAAGGATCAGAATCAGGATGCGACGCAGAACTCCACGCCGCTGTGGCAAGTGACCTTCCCGCAACCGGCAAGTGATTATCTTGCCTTTCGACATAAGCTCGATCAGGATAACGTTAGCCTGGAGAACGTGATTGTGCGCGAATCCGAGCAATGCCTGGTAGGTACGGTAAAGGTCCGGAATCTGGCCTACGACAAAGAGGTCATTGTGAGAGCAAGCAACGACTCCTGGTCCACTCACGAGGATGTGCACTGCACTTATGTGGAACAACGAGGATCACCGGCTTCCCTCATACTCTACGACACTTTCCGATTCCGGCTCACTCTGCCAGTGGCGTCGGACGTTATCGAATTCTGCGTACGATACCACACCGACGGCAAAGAATTCTGGGATAATAACGAGAGCAAAAATTATGTGATTCGTAAGAAGCAAGAGGTAGGTTTTTTTATCTTGTTAACATATCATTTGTTCTTTTGGAAATTATAATTTACGAAAGGTTCTCTTGAATTTAATTTAAATTAATTTTAATTTAATTTATATATATATATATATATATATATATATATATACATAATTTCTCTCAAATACACAGAGAAAATTTTCTAATATTTGCCGAACATATATTGACAGTATCCGTGATATCACTTCTATTTGGAATTCTAGTAATGATACACGAGGTTCCATAGACTGACAAATTGGCATACTTCATAAAAATTATTACGTGATTTTACTTACGAACATATATACCAAAGGATCTTCGGTATCTTTATCAAATATTTACCAGTAGCGTCGGTCCAGTCACGGTTTATTGCTTTTCAAAGCTATTGATGAAATGACTAAAAAAACAAAAAAAGATTTTTTTTGTCATTTAAAAAAAAATCGAGATTAAATATATCTGGTAAAAAAAAAATTTTTTTTTCTTCATTATGTAAGTCGAAATTAAATGAATTTCAAAAGAACCCCAAGAGATATTTTTCAATGCAAGCATATGCTAAAGGATTGAGACACGTCATACGCTTCAGCCCCGGGTACCAGCCAAATGGTGCGACAACGTCCAGACAACGACATGCGATGGGATTTCCGGTAACAGCGGGAACGGCAGCGCGGTGCCGCGCAATACGGAGATCACCAGACTCAGCATGCGCACCTGGAGCGAATTCGCGTCCTGGCAACACCTGGCCAATGACGCGCCCTACTGGTGAATCCACCGGCGAGGAGGCTATGCTCCTTCGTCTCGATACGGATCAAGCTGTACAAACTACTCCAGTCTCTTCACCGCAATTTCGCCAAGACGAGAGATCACACAAATGGGACCATAAGCCGTAGGCATCTTATGGAACGCGAGTCATCTTAGAATTGAGGAAACGATGAGAGGGGAGAAACTGCACGACGATCAGAATTGAGAATGAGGGAAACAAGAGCGCGCGTGCGGGAGAAAAACAATCGGGGGGTGATAGCGAACAGCGGAGCGGACGCAACGTCGAACTCCTCGGATAACGCAATCTGTACGGTAAGCCCTGATTTTGCCCTTATCTTTTCTTGGCGTAAAAATATCTTACCAAGTTTAATAAAGCTTATTTTCATGACGGACGGGGAGGAAAAAGCGGCTTATGTGATAAATTGCTACGTAAATTGATTTGCATATTTTAAGTAATTATTGTGTGAAAATGTCTTTTGACAATTGACGATTGTGAAATATCTTTTTACAATTATTCTTTTTATAATTTTTATACATCAGATAATAATTTTATTTCCACCGAAGAAAAATGTCTAACAGTATTTTTGCTTTATTTTATTGAAATTTGATTGACTTGTGACAACTTTATGTTTATCTCACTTTAAATAGATGGACACTAAATAGATATGTAAAAAATTTCGTTTTTGTTTATATTTTATAATTGTACTGAAATAGTAGTTTTTAATCGAGCGAACGTATCGAATTTTTTAGCGCGTTTCACATATTTGGCCAGCAATTTTCACACATTGCAATAACTTCGTCTTAAACCGAAGTCCTACTCAAATATACGCTCATTCCTTCGCTTCTTGTGTGTGCTTGAAACGACGCATATTATTATGGGCTAGTCCTTGCATGCGACGTAAAATAAAAAGAGTAAGCGAGACCCAGAGACTCGTTCGGTTCTGCTGGTTGATAAATGCCAAGATTGTAGAATCTGTAGTCATATATCAACAGATTATACTCGAATGTTCAATGCAACAGACATCGCAACAACATCAGCAACATTTACATATTCTTTTTTTAAAGGATTATAATACATATCTGAATTTAATGAAGCACTGTCTGCGAAAACATTATAAGAGTCAAATCTAACAAATATCGAAAATAATTTCTATGAAAAATCGTGATAAATAAAATAATTTTAAAAAAATCTTGAACAATCGATTATAATAAAAATAACAATTTGTAGTAAAACATTAGCTAATACAACTTGGCAAATAAATAAAGTTTTTATTTAATTCATTAATAAGACATATGTTTATTTTCTTTTATTTTTTTTGTACAATGACTTTTCTTTAATGATACTTGGATGGAAGTTCCACAATTTAAAAGCAATCTTTGCTATGCTATTTATATTTTTTAATATAAATTTAAGAGGAAAAGATATATTATATAATTCCCACTCAACAATGTAAAGCTGAAAGTTACCATTTTCTAGATTTACCATGCCTTCGCTTCTAAGAGATACACTTGTCATCTGTTTATGCTTTCTCTTTGCATGCAGACGGAATAGTACCACGCTCGCGGGAGCTATTATTAACCGACAAGTGCAACGAGCTTCCTCGAGGGTGGCTGCAAAAGCTCAAACGTTCTCCATTTTGCTATTTACCCATTTCGGCGATTCGCAATCGGAATCGCGTGGTCTGGAACGTACGCAGATATTACGTTTGCGAATTTTATGTCTTTTTTAGCAGCACGAGGCCGTAGATATGTTCACCGCGGCTTGAAACTTTCTCTCTATAAATAACAGCCGACCGCCGACGTCGCCGTGTGCGAGACGCGATAACAGACGCGACGCGACCGACGAGGAGTCGCGCGACTCTAATTAAATCGTCTTAACTAAAGGTTGTTACCACGCAATGTGACGTACCGATCTTATGTTGCGCGCTATCGCGATGAATCCTCTTTCTTTCCTCTCTCTCTCTTTCTCTCTCTCTGTTCTGCTTTCTCGTTTCTTTTTTCTCTCTCTTTCGTCATATTATTAATTTATCTCGCGACACGATATAAGGGATGCAACAAATAATGGAAGGATTGTATCGCAAATGTAAAGATATTTCTTGAAACGAGACTTTCTTTTCGAGTTGAAACCGATTAAGTAGGAGACGTTATTCGTGCGATTTGATGACTGGGGCTGCGAATAGATAATAAAAATTTTTCATTTCTTTTAAATTCAAATAAATGTAATTTTTATAGAATTTAAATCTCAAACTCTCTTCTTTTAGTTATTAAGATATTTAATACTGAAAATTGAAGTGCTATGAGAGGGAAGGATACTTTTGCCTTTATTTAAACAAGTTTAAATAGATATATTATTCGAGAGAGAATCAAGTTGTATGGATGAATCTAATGAGTAAGTGAAATGTTAATCTCCCTTCCGATAAATGTTATATAAATAACTCTGAAATCACGAGTGAATGAAGGGGGAGTTTGTCCCCATGCGGTATCATCAGGGCGATAACTTTACTCGTTTCTCTGGGTATAATGTATATTTCTCACGCATACACATTCATTCATCTCGTCGGGCAATTTCTTCTCTTCCCTCACGTACCGATAATGTTGACTTCGTTATATTTTCCGTTTAAATGCACACAAGCCGTTAACCATATTTCACATTTTTATTCAAAGCCGAGGTACGTGAGTATTCATAAGTCACGGAGATCTCGCATCAACATTCGAAGCTTAGCGGCAATATCTAGCGGTAAAGTCTCGGGGAATATTTTCAGGGCCAAAAGAATGTAAAGCGGTCCTTGACACACTGCCAAGCACATATCGGATGCGCTATTATAAATATAACGAACGAAATGGTTCTTTACAAGCGTAAGATATCCTCGGCACTGATCTGTCTGGCCTGAAAAATACAACAGAAGGAGCAGATCCAAGACAAATTCGCGCTCAGTTTGACTCCTTCGACAATTTTGTTCATTCGAGAGTTTGCGAAACTCGACCCTGGTGCTAACGCGTTAACCTACTTTGTACAATGCCGCTAAAATCAGTCTATATTTACCAGCACAACGCTCTTTCCTGTGATGTCATTTGGCAACAGGATGAAACAGGTGGCTTTAATGCCCACGTTTTTAGGCATCGCGACGGGAGGGCTTGTTATACTACATGTGTAACAAGCCGCGACGAATCACAATGTGCATTGGTTGCAATTGTAGAAAATTGCTCGCGCAATTTGTGGATTTGTGAACTTGCAACATTTCGCTGAGACATTACCGATTTGATGAATAATTCAAACATTGTGTTCTCATATAAACGTATCAAGATTCTTCTGCGACGTGTACGTGATCGTTTTCGTTAACATTTATTCTATTAACGCGCGACACATGCTTCTTTTTTTAATAAAATTCTAATATTATTAAAAGCATTTTCATGAACTTTTTGTAGATAATAAATACATGAAAGAAAAAATTTATATAAATAACATATAAATTTAATATCGAAAATATTTCTGATTATTTCTAATTATTACCTTTTTATTGAAATATTGGAAAAATTATGGTTTTTTTAATGATTTTTATCATCATTCGTCATTGCTTTACGTACATTTGAAGAAAAAAGCTCATTATCTCTATATTGAACACTATCGAGACAAAGTTGCTTTACATACGCGAATGTAGTTAATAGATTAAGCGTTATCAATATAGAGAGTTATAAGGTATTTTAAAATTAAAATGCCTTGTTTACCTTCATAAAATGGTTCACCTTCGAAGAATATCGTTTATCATGCACGTATATCTATCTTGGCAATAAATACAGGATGCGTCAAAATCTATATCTTCTTTTTAATCTTCAACAAACGGGGACAACAATTTTTCCGGGAAATCCGGTAAAGTGGAAAATTTTGAAGCATTAATTAATAATATAATAATAATTTTTTTTTCTTTTTTTGTTTTATATATATATATAAATCATTTTTGTCAATTTTTGTTAAAATATTATTGCGAATGATTTTTCCTCAATGATATCCATGTAATACAAAGTATCTATATTTGCAGAGATTATATAGTAGTATCAGAGTATCCAGCGTTATTTATTAATAATTGATATCAAATGATTGACCTTTTAACTTTAAGATGCTCAATCCAATTATCACCTTGTTTGAGAATTTTATACATGATATGCAATTTGAAAGGAAATAATTAAATCATTTTGCTCTTAAGTAACAACATCATCCACGATAACTATAGACTGAAATATAATTCTCGGTAATTCTCAGTATCACTAGAGAGTTGCATACACACGATAACAGACTGCAGGAGTCACTTTAATCCTCAAAGTGCATCAGAAGATTGAAACCTCGAGTATCTTTATCTATGCGTCTCTCGACATTGAAACAATTCAGCAACGGCCGGTATCTTCGCGCGGAGAAAATGTGTGCGACTTCTGAGATATCCTGTAGACATTATGTTTGAAACGCGGTTGGTGAGAAGTGGTGGCGCAGGATCATATATACGCACCGCGGTCACACCGGTGGTACCACGCCTTGGTAAATACAGTGAAAGAGAGAGAGAGAGAGAGAGAAAATGAAAAAGAGAAAAAGAAATTTTAAGACGTCTAGACGCGTGGGACGGACCGGAGTAATCTCAACTCTCGTTGCTTGCTTACTTACTTGTTCGCTTACGCGGTGTTTGCACGCGTTTGTACACATACGTGCACAAGACGTGCATACCGAATCACGGAAAAGAGGAATTTGGCGAACATTTTAATTGAACATTGTTAACCGTCGCTAGAAATCGCAATCGATCTGTCATGGAGCGCTTTTAATAAATTGGATCCGGACCAGTCTCTCTGCGTTAACAAATTAAATTTTTTAATATCATTATGTTGTTTTATTATGTAATAATATTTAAATATATCATAAATGTTTTATATAAAGAAATATAGTTTCTAATATAAAAAAAAAAAAATAAATGTGCGTTTTTGACCTCCATAAAATGATTTACATTGATGATATCGTTCATCATGTACGTATATCTATTTATGGAGATGAATACAGAGTGCGTTAAAAATGTACATTCTTTTTCGTTTTAAATTATATTAATTAACGATCAAATTTCAAAATTTCTTGCAATTTAGTGTAACGATACGATATGCATTTTAGCTTGTATAAAAATTCATTGAGCTTTTATAAATTTTTTTTATGGGAACTATATATATCTTTTTTTTCTCTATATACGTATATATTTTGTTTTATCGTAATTACTCATTTAATAAAGCACTATACTTTCGGCCTTCTTACATAAATGAAACTTGTGAATGGAATAAAATTATTTATTACGCGTTCTTGTCTTTCTAGATCCCCATCTTCCAGCATCCACATCATCATACAACCGGATCACCAAGGTCATCCTGCGTCCGTCTCCAGCGCGCCAGTTCATCGGCACGAACATCATCGTCGCACGTTATCTTCTCGAACGTCCTCTTCTTCCTCCTCTACTTCCTCATTCCTGAGATTTTCGAACCGCCCACAGACTCAAGATAGTCGGTCGCGGTTGAGCTTCTACCAGATCGAGTTGATCAAATCTTGCTGGTCTCGTCATGTGTGTGTCAGTCAATATTATAGTCTTGTAAGTTATCTCCACTACTTTCCTTGTAAATATCTTCCTCTTTCTCTCTATCTCTCTTCCACCTCTTCGTTTCTGGCGTCCTTAACACGATCCTTTCTGCGAAACACAGATTCTCGACCAGCTGTGTTTATTATTTTACGAGTATAACGGGACACGTCTATAGTCTCGTGAGGTCTCAATAAACATAAAACAGTTGCGAGATTACTGACAAACGCGATATGCCTTGTGGGGTGAATTATATAGACGTTTGTTTCGTAGCGCCAACGTGTGTAGCTCATCGCCCAGACACATAAACGCCTAAAAGATGATCTACGAGTGTTTTTATTAGAAGCGTTCTTCAGCTCTCGTCTGGGTTATTGTCATATACTTGAGTGATGCTACTCCAACATTTTATTAAATGTTAAAAAATTCTATTATTACTAATTACAAGAAGCTTTTGCGATTGCGAAAAAGCGTAGCTTGTGTTCGCAGTCGATGTAAACATTATCAGCGGAAAGCGACGAAACGATAATCATCAACGGCATTTTTTATTCTACTACTACTATTTTATTATCTAACTGGTGCTATCTACCGTTTCCCTTGCAATATCCCTTTTCTTTTGCGTGTACTATTTCGCGAATAGAGGGTAAATTACAGCTTTGCACGGTGAAGAAAGTTTCAGCAATCATTATCACGCAATTAGAATGTTTGAATCGAGCAGATGATTGAAATACGATATACCTTGTAAGATATTAAACTACTAACGCGCAATTATTTACTCCTTTCGGGGCTTTTATTTCTCACGGATTACTTTAAGGGAGATTTATATTTTATATCCATAAAAATATTATATGATGAACGTACAGAATTATATAAACATAGATACACACACATCATATAGTCGTATTATCCGCTCAATACTCGCTTGAATCGACGCGTATTTAAGCAAACAAGGGTCAAGATTAATAAAAAAATCGCAGTAAATGCGAACACAGGAGCCTGTCGACAAACAGTGCGATTATGTTATATGCATACGAATGGACACTAAACCGCTACATAAAAGCGATCATTAATTTGTGATCTACAGAAATTGTAATTCTCGATAAAAAGAAAACGATATATGTATGAGCCGAATCATCAGATAAATATTTTTTTTCTGATGTATATCTGAAGAATCGGTTCAATTTTTCTCGATTTTACAAATTAGTGCGATCAGTACGGCTTTAAAGTGTCGGAATAACAATAACAGAATGGAGCATGAGTACTTGCGAACGCACGAATCTTTTAGCTTTTCTGGCACTGAATTAGAACTGCGTACCGGAAGAAACGTCGAGACGATCGTGAGAGATGATCGTGAAAGCTCTAGCTAGTCATTTGGCCAGGCGCCATTGTACGTCTTTAACAACAGGCTTTCATAGCAATATCGAAACTGCTTTCTCTGCTGATAGAGATTCTTCGAAGTGGATGACGAGAGTTTCACTCGCGCGTTACATCTTTTCAGCGAGATAGTTTTTAACATCGATTTTTGTTATATTTTTCGATTTTTGTTGTATGAGCTTTCATTACATTTATAATGTTCTTCTTAGGATTTTTTTAGCTCATCGAAGTATCATGTAATTTAAAGCGAATATGAATGAAAGTATGGATGATGGAGATATATAATGTTTTCATGTAATCTAAATTATTCTCTTGGATATTTAATTGTTTTTTGTTATATTAATTTGGTAGTGCGATATTATTTAATCAAATTTATAAAGTAACGCAATATTATTATATATATTACGCGTATGTATACAATGATATTAATTTACACTACTGTGATGATCAATTGAGTATTAAAAGAGATTAGTTTGGAAAAGAATATATCTCCTTCATCTGCTTTACATCTATACAGATTTTTAAATATTTTTTTTTTCAATATCATTAAGTTCTTTAGGAAAGCATATTATTGTTGTTTTTTTATATATATATAAATGACGTAGGAATCGATATTATTTTCTCCTGTTCTAGTTTCTTCTCTTGTCTACTCTTTGCTCTTCTCTTTTCTTTCTTTTTTTCTTTTCTACAACGATCTAGAATTAAAAGCAGCTTGCGAACAATTATATGTGTATGAAATGTGTATGAAATGATTGTTAGGATTGTTAGTCCAATTGCTGTCGCAAAGAAAGTAGTTTGTGCATCCGTAATGCTGCTCCGGATCGAGTTCGTGTCCGTTCATCGAGTACCATATCGCTAATCGATGTAACGAGCGCTCGCGTGTATACGTACAGGTACGAGTGTACATTTTCTTTCGAGAGCCGTAAGACTGATAACTTAAACTACGTACATAATGTATATAATAAGCGTATTCAAGAATAAGAATTTTAATCGTATCTCGATGAAAGTTTTAAATATCTTATCACTCGACAATTATCGGGATTTCTTCTAATAAGCAAATCACATCTCTGTATATTTTTTTATCATGTAAGTTCTCTCGTTCCCTTTTCGTGTGTTCTTAATTCCTATTTGTAATATATCTCGTCCACATATACTCGACATATATATATATATAGCGTCTGTTAATGTTATGGCAACTTTTTCGCATCGTTTTTATATGACAAACGTGATTTGAATATTATCTTTACTTTTATTGCGTATATATTAAAGATTATTGCATACAATATTATTATCATCATTGTTGGTTGTTATATATCTAAGATATGTTTCCTGTATAAAATGTATAAGTTTTGAAAATGTTTATTATACTGTGGTTCGTACATATATACATGCGTTTGGGTACCGTATTGTACATATCAATGAAAATGATTATTATCTTTTTGCAATAAAAATTATAACAATGTAAATAATATACGAGATATGATTATTTTTTTATTTCGATCATTCCTTCTTAATTTTATTTCCTTCGTCATCTATGTAAATTGTCTTTAAACAATTATTCCTTGAAGTTATCCAAATTAAAATTAGAGATTGACATTCATTGATAATGCACTTCAATCTAATTTTTTATGGCCAAACAATATTCTCGATCCAGTCGATATAAAAACTAACTCTGGTATATATCGCGGGAGAAAATTTAAAAGCGCAAAACTTTCCGAAGCTTGTCACACCTACGATACTGTACATGCAGTAAGGTTTCGCGAGAACCCTTTGCAATGGACCACCGCTGTCACCCTATATATAATGCGAAATTAATCTTTTTAATCATAGTCTGTTATCTATAATCTGTAATAAATATTTATATACCAACTTATATATATATATATATATATATATATATATATATAATATTCTTAAATTAAGATCAAAGATTCCATTCAAAAACAAAAAAATGTTTTTCTGTTGTAAAAACTTAATTGATGAAATTAATTTGAGAAACGCAAGTAATATCTTCGAAACTTTCTACTAAGAGACAAAAGGCTTGAAAATAATTTTAAATGTTTAATTGCACGCACCTGACAAGTGTCTTTTCCGCCTTCCATTATGCCGGCACAAAGTAAACCCTGTATCAAACCGTCAGGCAGCCGCCGTGTGCCGAGATCCTCGGCGTAACTCTTTTTACAGTCATCCTCGGAAATATAATTCAGCTGAACCTTCATTAATTCGTTGCTACCGATATTAGATTCTGCACAATATCTTATATATAATATCTTTCAATTAATATAAAATAATTTACATTATGAAATATTAAAATATATATAAGAAGAAAAATTATTTGAAAGATATTGACCGTAAGAGGTTTTTCCAAATCCAGAAGCGATAGCGCTTTTATCTGGTATCTGCGAGTTTACTTCGAGACATGCGGGTCGCACTCGAGGATTCAACTCTAACGGTCGATCGAGTTTAAGTAATGCTATATCGTGATATTTAACCGAAGGCTTGTAATCCGGATGCTTAATTCTCTCCACGATGTACCTCTCTTGCATAACGTCGCTTGGAGTTAATAAATTAATCAAGCCGACACGTACTTTGATCGCGGGACCTCTGAAAGAGATAGATAATATTAAAAATGACACATATATTTTTATATTTTAATTCCAAAATTAATAATAATAAAATGAATATGATAGAATAATTGTGAGACATAAAATTGTTACTTGTCCGGAGATTCCAAACAGTGAGCTGCTGACAGAATAAAATTCTCAGAGATGATGCTTCCTCCACATTGCCAGGACACCGCGTCATTCTTGCCATAACCAATCACTGCCTGCAATTAAAGTAATATTTTGTTAATTAAATATTGGAACACAACGGAAACCTAGATGTATCAAGTAGCAATGGATTTCTCAAGCTGTCTTAATTGGAACAGGTAAAAAAAGACAAATGTATTCTGTATTCCTATATAATAATCTAAAAAAAGAATTATTAAATAAAATATCTGGCATTTTACTTTATTATTAAAAATAATAAAGTTAAAGATTTAAATTTGTCATTTGTTATTCACGGAAAAATTGTGAGATGCAATTTTCATACGATATTAAAATATATTTTAATTTTTGTTTTTTTGTGATTTATATAAAAATATTTTATATAATACTATTTGTGTGTGCATGGTGTGTGTGTATAACAATTATAAGTTTTTTAAATATTGATGATATCATTTTTGATTCAATAATCAAAGATAATTTCCTTGTTTGTCAATTTCATCGCTGTATTGACAATTAAATAATAATAATGTATTTTTTTTGGTATTAACAACACTGTTATATATCTATTCTCACCATATGCGGAAATTCCGCGGGTTTTGCCGGAACTCCGCCGATGATAAGAGGGGTCTCAATAATCGCGCAACGAGACACTTTATTCGAGCCAGCATTGATACGTAAAATCGGCGAACTCTCGGTTTCATAAACCAGATCAGCATATTCTTTGCATTCTGCGAAAATGCAAGAGTTATGTAAATAAGTAGTAGGAAAACAGACGCAAATCACAACGACGACTAACTGAATTTATAGTGCTATTACATGTAGAAAGCTATAATTATAAGAATACACAGAAATTATTCATTTCTAGCGCGCAACTGTCTTATAAAGTGCACAGTTCATCAATTTACTATCGTGCGTCATGATTGTTGAATCGCGCGTCTACCACGAAACGCATGTTATATTTATATATCGATCTAAACAAGTTACATATGTTTCCTTATGCCATTCAAATCTTGCATAACAAAGACAATTTCTGCCTGAGAAAAATCGATTCTAAATTTAGCAAAGAATTTGTTATCGAAAAGAGGAGTCATATAAATCTAAGATACACCGCAAGATCGTGATTTCTGTGCGTACACTTAAAATAAAGTTTTCTCGATTATGAATCAACAAGATGAATTATCACTAACTTTCTTCGCTTTTCCGCGCTGTAGAATTTCTAAATAAGATGGCAACGAATAACGCGATTGCAAACTTCCCGTACATATTGCGAATCGAATATGCAACGTACCAACACATTCTTTGAACAAAGGCCTTCATAGCAAATTCATGCTTTTAAGTATGCTGGATAATGCGAAACGAAGTGCACACGATAATGTGTCGTTCGTTAACAATCAGTAATCCGCCAGCTGAGATGTCATTAACATGATATTCGGAATTATAGCCAATGATGTATCCGTTGGATCTTCTCTAAGGAATACTTCTTATAACACTTGCATCTATTTCCGATAGCACATATCGCATTTTGATAATGGACGACTATATTTCGTAGAAAGATTACGTCACATTCTTATATCTTAGTATCCAGTGCTTAGTATTCGCGCTATTTAATTAATTCAGAAACGTGCACATTATTACTACTTAAACATCAATTATCTACATTTCCACATTTTTCTATTGCTATTACACATCCTTTTAAAATGCGTAAAATATAAATTCTGTAATACCCGATAGTTTAATTTATTCGCAGAAATGTTTCTTTATGTGATGTAGAGACTTATTTTTTTACAAAGTTATCAATATTTGTCTAATCACAAAATAATTATCTTTAATTATTATTACATTAATAATAGCACTATCATATATTATCATATTATAATTTCTTCTGATTTGCGAATTAACATTCGGATCAACGCTACATCCCTGCGCATGTGGTCCGCTCGTAATGATACCGGCCTTATTAAACCAAACGGGTTTCTTGTAGCAATATCGATCGCAATGAACCGGATTGGATTTGTCTTACGGTGTATTAAGTTCATCTATTTATCGACATTATTTCTCTAACGTGTCAAAAAATATGTAGAAATTTTATAAATCTATCTTGATCTATTTAGAACTATTTTAAAATATGTGTAACATTCTCATAAAACTTAAGTCCCGACGACTTTAATGTGTTCTGTTATTAATGCATAATGTTTATTTTAATTTTATTAAATATATTAGTAATTTAAATTAAACAGATATAAAAAATATTGATGCTAGTAAATTGTGGCATAGCAAGTGTAATTTATCAATGTGCTTACTTTATTGCAAGCTTTCGATTAGATCGGTTTGGCAATGCTTTGCGTCATAAACGGAATAACTCGAATTTATTTGAAATTCTTAGAAATGCAATAATTACGGAAAGATAAATCTTCTTTACGCGAATATAGTTGTTTTTTTAGCTTTGAAGTCAACTTCTTTATCAGCCACAACTGGTATCTTTAATAATTCACTATAACAGTTTGCAAGTAGTAATTAATAGTGCACGCAACATTGTGTTTAATGCAATAATCAATGACGTAATTTATACAAGAGTGATTGTCACGCATATTAAAAGAATTTATTCATCGGATTTTCATAATTATTACATAATTTATGTACGATTTCATTGCTAAGATGTATAGTTTGAGCAAATTTATTGTAAAATTTGCAAATAGACATTTTTTGTCAAGCAATAAACATTTATTAAAGAATCTACTTTTAGCCTCATAATGATGTGCAAACCATATTAAAGTTCGTGATATCTTGATGGAAAGAAGAAATTACTCTCATAACAAGATTTAGAAAGCTCTAAAAAGTTTCAATTAATCACGAAAGATTATAAAATATTTATTTATTCTTGCAACATGACTGGATCAGTTTATCCTCGATGCCTAAATGCGAATCAAATTATTTCAATATCCTTATACTTTGCATCAAGATTTCCTCATTGAGAAACTTAATAAGCCCGTTTTTATTGATGTGCAAAAAAATATGTATATATAATGATACCAATGAAGATGCGATTGCACCATTTTAATACTAATATCGATCTACTTTGTAATCATTGCGTTATATCAACAAAAGATATATTAGACTCTCCTATTTTCTTCATTTTCAATTTAGCGGCTTTTTAATATTTTATCATTTCAAAGCATTAAAGAAGATTATTGAAAATACAGAAATGCATATAAGTGCTGAATGTACACATGTATCTCATCAATATTCATTCGATATCAAGATGTCCAATATTTAAAATCAAAATCAATATAATTTCATCAAATTCAAATTTTGATGCTGTGGACAACAATAGTTTATTTCTCAATTCGTGACAATTCGCATAAGATATATTTTTCAGAAAGTGCAATCACCGCAGAATCACATCGATCTCGATTTTATTTTCTCGAGATTATTTACGACGCGCGAAGCCTAATTGCCCCATCGTTTTGCGCATTTGAACGCATTTTGCCGAAAGTATGAAACGAGATTCCTTCTTCGAAGATGCGCGCGAAATCGCATCATCTCGTGCTCACTCGCGCTTGGCTAGCCGGCTTATCCCGAAGTTTATAACAAAAATGACCTCACCATCGTGAGACCATGGAATAACATGGTGGGGACCATGAGGAAACTTGGAAGCCAACAGAGCGGACTGACGAGTTAGACGAGATATATCGGCCGTTGCAGCGAGTACACGAGACCAGACCGAGAAGAGCGCGCGATCAAGGTTGTGATTAAGAATGTCACAGAACGCGCCTGCCGCTTCGCCGTTATTATTGTTGGTGTTGGTGCAGATCCTGTTGCCGACACATGGAAAAGATGTCGGAGGTCAGTATTAATTCTTCTCGCTAAAAATACAAATTCTTGTTTTGAACGAATGTGTCGACCGCATTTTTTTACAAGAGAATTGGAAGATCTCCCGGGACGCCTTATCTTAGAAAAATTCCACTATTAACATGTAATTCTTTCATCGTATACAATGATTATATAATCATACACTCATAACAGTAATTATAATCATTGATATAATTACTTATTTATTTGATTGCTATAAATCTTTATTTTTTTTTTTTATTTATCCAAATAAAACGAAATAAAAATTACTTGACCATAACGTCGCAAACATCAATTACTATTCTTACATTTATTCCTTGTAATATATCCTGTCATGCGAGTTAATCGATACGATTATAATTTAACGATGATCGTAAAGCTTGCATAGAAATATTTCCATCATCGAAAAAGAAGTTTTAAACACATTATAGCAAACATATATACATCAGAGATCTTGTCAACAGAATTGTAAGGTCAATTGATCTAATCATCTTCAATTTAAAGTTAATATCTCTTGAAAACAAGTGTGAGTCAAGAAATAGTAGCTAAAATTATATTTACAATAAATGTAAAATGTTTTTTCATTATACTTATATAATAATTTAAGAAACGTGCAAACTTGAATATGTTACACATGTACATTTGAATAAATATAATTTTATCAATGTACTTCTTATTAACAACAGCGTTTCTTTAATTGCCTGTGATAATCATTAGATTGTGTTAACTCAGAAAGAGAGAGCGATATTACGATAATACGATTTGAAAAATGGAGTAAATGAAAAATATAAAGTCTCACATTCATATTCCAACTTACATCTTTCTTTTCCAATATTTTAAGTATACGACAATAAATAATGATATTGAAGTCTTTTAATTTCGTTTTATTATCGCGCTTAAATTGAGAAATATTTTCGAATAGTAAACTTCTTTGTAAAGCCAAGTTTATTTTTAACAAAAAATTTGTAATACTTTATATGATGTGTACCATTTCTTATAATGTGTGTCATCTCTTATAATTTTCAGAAATATGCACAATCGGAAATTCGCAGAGCCAGGGTATATGCAAGCTTTTGCAAAACTGTCCAGTAATTTATCAGGAATTGTTGGCCGGCAATATGCCGAAAAGTATTTGCGGCTATTCAAATTTTGATCCAGTAGTCTGCTGCCCGCCAACAACGCTTGTTACCAGCAAATCACCGCCAACACCGGTACCACAGACTACCGAAGCAATTCAAGTAGGGCGACCTTTGAAGCTGGGTGACAGCAGAGGATCGTTAGCGCGAATAAGTAAGTGGGATTCCTTTTCCAATTAATCTTCTAATCTAAAGATTGGAAGCGCTGAAATATAACTTTTTAACGTAGCATTCTTCGAATATCTAGCATTAATATCTAGCATTGTGCACATCTCGCCGTAGTTGTACTTTCAACGCTTCATACAATGGCTAAATGACACAGAAATGTTTTTCTCGTAAATTTACATCGAAGATTTTAAAAACATCTTCCTCTTTTAATAACATAATATTAAAACGCATTATACTGACTACATAAACAAGTTGCATAACACATATTTTTATAGTATAAACACCAAAGACGAAATATTTTAATGGGATGTAGGCAAGATAAGAGAAGTCGTGACTCGTCAAGGGGAGAAAAGAAGCGACGCAGTTTTAAATGTAGCTTCGGCTTGAAACTCAACATCCGTTTAGATCGATATAATCTTCTCTGCTCTTCAGAATGCGCGGAAGCCGCGGAAGCTGTCTATGGCTTGGAAATACCACCTATACCGATCCTTCATCGAAATCCCGTCAATGTGTCGCGTTGCGCCCTGAAAACGAGCAAGCTGATCGTCGGCGGCGTGAAAGCCGACCCGAAAGAATTCCCGCACATGGCAGCCGTTGGTTTCGACGTTAACGGAGATATCCAGTGGAAATGCGGTGGCAGCTTGATTTCCGCCAAGATCGTCCTGACAGCGGCGCACTGCACTTGGAATGGAAACTGGTAAATTCCGTCTTTATCACTTATCCTCAGAAAATTGGCGAAAAAAAGTAATCAAAGCTACTTTTAGTATTCTGATAAAATAAAAACAGCTTTCTCGTCGTTACAATTCTCGATCTTTTTTTTTACTAGTAATTATTTGATCATTTTCTTTGCATCAAAGCGCTACTGTCTTTTTTAACCATGTAAGCGATTTAAGTAATTTAAGGTTTTGGCTGTACAATAATAGCAAAAAACAGTCAAAATTAAAAAAAAACATTTTATTCAATTTTCATTTGCTTCAAAGGGGAGCCGCAAAATGGGTGCGAGTTGGTGATCTGAATCTTGTGCAAACAAATGACGACGCGATCCCCCAAGATATTAAAATTGCAGAAAGAATAAAGCATCCTGATTACAAAAGCCCGTCAGTGTACCACGACATAGCTATACTACGATTGGAAGAAGAAGCTAACTATAATGCATGGGTGAGACCAGCGTGTCTTCCGGTTGACTTGCCTGATATAGGCACGGATAATAAGGCCGTTGCTACTGGATGGGGTTTAGTCGATTGGTGTAAGATCTTTAAAAAATTCTAAAATAATTTAAAAAAATAATAATTGTAGATTTTGTAACTATATATATAAATATATACATATATGCGTATGTAATCTACAGAATACTATAATATTATAATTATATGTATATGTAAATTAATATATTAATAGGTCATAATATACTGTTCTATATCCTGCAGCCGAAGACGTAGGCTCGGACAATTTGTTGAAAGTAACGCTCAATCTGGTAAATCACGAGTCTTGCAATATGAGCTTTTTTGATGGCGGCACCAGTGCACAGCTTGCAGCAGGCATAGTCAACGAGTGGCAAATATGTGCGGGACAAGTGGGAGGAGATACTTGCCAAGTAATATATTTTCCTTCATACTAAAACAAAACTTTCCTTCTTCCTAACAGGAATTTCACTTTAGCTAAGGAAACTATTCCCTTAAAATTGTTCCCATAATTATATTAGTTAAATTCAACTGCATGGTTTAACTCTAACTTCTTTTTAATTTTATTCATAAATATAGGTAAAGACTCAGTCAAAGTTCAGTTAATTTATTTTTAACTTTAGTTAATTTTATCCTTAAAAACATTATATTATTTTTGTGATAAGTAAGTTAAGCGAAAATTAAAATTAATCGAATGCATTTTTGTTTGTAATTATCAAGGGTGACAGCGGAGGACCACTCGCTATCTTTAACAAAGATCATGATTGCATGTATAATATAATCGGAATTACTAGTGTTGGACGTTTGTGCGGCAGCATCATACCCGGCGTGTACACTCGAGTCTATCACTACATCCCCTGGATAGAGAGAACCGCGTGGCCGGAATACTATCAAAACAATTAATTAAAAATTTTTCAATTTTTCTAATTTAAATGTATTTTTTTTAAATATTAAATATATTTCTTTTTTAACATGATGTAGTTTTCAGTGATTGCAGTTTTTTTATTTCTTACAATTCTCACTTTTAACCTCATAATCCTAAAAATATAAGTAGAAATATAAGAAGAAATCAAAATTCATCGTAATGTGCGCAAACAAAACTTATATTTTTAAGTAATTTCAATGAAGAGCAACAAAATATGTGTTTAAACAATATATTTAATAATGAAATATACCTATTAGAATTTCTAATGAAAAATAATAAAAGATCACGAGAGACTTTATACAACATTCAATTTCGATTTTCGATGTGTGCGACAAATTATAAAGTTAGTTTCTATATAGAATCTCTTGTGACTATTATTTTTCATTATGTTCGTCAATTAAATCGAAATATCGATTTCTTGCAATATTAAAATTTATATATCGCTGAAGAAGCATTAAATAATTATAGCAAAGTTTCAATACGCGTATGTTTAATTGCCAAATATAATGTTCAAACACCTAATTTTGTTGCTCATTTCGATTTCTTTATTGAAATTATTTGATAATACAACGAGCTGGTTAATTTCATTTATATTTATATTTGATAAAAGAGTTGAATTATCTACCCTATTTTCCTCAAACAAATAGAGATATATCTGCTATTTTCCGCGATGTTAAGAAACAGCGGAGAACCGCGCGCGGGATGTGCAACAAGAAACAATTTATGCAAATACATAAACTCCCCGAGGTGAATGCGCGCGAGTAGAGCGAATTCCTGAGGATACTCGACATTGATCCCTGGACGCGCAAGCGCCGACCAACGAATTCTCATCTGCTTCCATCGTTCCCGATTATCGGCGAGAGTTCGTTCGTCGTACTTGGCGAACGTAGTTAGAACGCGGTCGTCTATTTTCGTTTACTTAAACAGTCGACCGTCTTTTGCGATACTACTGGTCCCAGTCAAGGTAAGGAAGTCGTTCGCGAAGCAACCACATTTCGCCACACATCTCGTGATTTCTCGAGTTCATCGTTCTGTGAAAAAGCTCGCGAAAAAAAAAGAGGACGAAAGATCCCTCAAAATTAACAATCATTATTTTTTTATGGCAAAACTTGATATTAATTTTACGACCGTTACAATGTTGAAGACACGAGGTATGGATTGCATTATAAGTAGATATCAATATTCTTTTGATGATATTTTAGAGAGAGAAAACCCCTAAAGTTTTCTTATGTTAATAATATAAAAAAATCTATCTAATTACAAAATAAATAATCTGACAATTTTTCGTGCTTATTATTTTCTGTTATTTTTTTATAATAATATGACGATGTTTCGATAGGTAGACGGACACAGAAGAACTAATGTCGGCTCTTCTAGATGTATGCGGAAATGATACCGGTTCACCATCGATATCGAAGGCTGACGATAATTTATCCAACAGCGACGGGCCTCTGATTAAAGGTCTCATTCGCCAAAATAGTTGCAGCAGCGTACATGCAAGGTGAATAAAAAAAGCAATGTGTACCAAACATTGAATTGTCTTAATAATTATGGTCTTATTAACATGTGGGTCTTGTTTATCTTACTACAAATAACGCTATTATCTAAAAAGGAAATAAACAAGAAACTGGCAATCAGAATTAATTCAAGACTGATTAGTTGGTGAAAATTATTGGTGCAATCTGTAAACTAAATTAATTTCGGCATAAATAATTAACCCTCAGTTTGATCAATTAACAGGACGATAGGCTCTTCGTACGGTATGTCATCGTCGAGCGAAAAATCTACGAAGAGACGTTACTGTCTTTGGACGTTGACTCTAGTTCTGGCGATAATCGGCCTCTGCAATCTTTTCTTGAATATCACTGTCATTGCTGTTTTGCGCATTAGCCAGGGGATGGAGGCCATGGAAGTAATCCCAGATGAAAATCTTGTCAAATTTTATGGAAGAACCGATTTGGACAAGGTACATATATATTTTCGTATTTGTTATTGAAAGTTATTGGATAAATGCATATAAATATATATAAAAAAAACCGGCAATAAATATATGAATATAGTTTAGATACTTTCTGCGTTGAATATTTTGCTGAAATCTCTTCATAAATATTAATATTATGAATATTATATATTTCATTCTTCACATTTTCTCTCCAAAGATATCCCTGCAATCCGGTGTCTGTCAGAGTTATGGCGACGAGTCGATGGAAGTATCCGGCGATGAGGCTGGGGTGCACGTCGACGTAAAGGGCCGTGGACAAAACATTCCCGAGACACATCCGTACTCAAAGCTAAGCGTCTTAGCGAACGGCACCACCATGTCGCAGGTGGAGTCGTTTGAGGTGAAGGATTCGCGTACCGGCGCGATTTATTTCACCACCGATTTTCCCAACTTTGGCCTGCCGAGCGGCGTCGAGACGATCGACGTGAGGATTGCGGAGACTCATCGGATCACCTCGTCGGTCAATGAGAGTCTTGCGATAAAGTCCGACAATCAAATCTCGATGCACGGCGCGGAGGGCGTACGTATGGAGAGCAAAGACATTGAGTGGAGTGCCGATCTGGACGTCTTCCTAAAGAGCGTAAACGGTAACGTCGTGTTAGACGCCAAGGACGGTATTTCCATCAACTTGAAGAGTATTCCAGTGGCGCCCACGTTCTTGCCGAGTCCCATCGGGAGTCACGAGCAGTACAAAGTCTGCGTGTGCATGCCGCAGGGCAAGCTCTTTAAGATGCCGGTCCGGCCGGGCGCAAGTTCTCGCACTGTCAATTGCGCGCGAGTCGCCAGAACCCCTGAGAACGACCCATGTCTGCATTGAATCCTAAATAAAGACTGATGTTTTCTACCACACGCTTAAATTATGTGCAATCACTGCCAAAAAGGCAAACTGCATTAAAAAAGGCAAGCATATTTGGAGCTTGACTTGTGTAACATCGATAGACAGTACATTGAGCAAGATATTTAAAATATAAAATAGAGGATGGGGTACATTTACGGAATACCATTGACACATAATCATTAACCTGCATATCTTTAAAAAAAACTGACACAAAGATTATTTAAGCCGAATCTTTAGAGATCAAATCTCTCTCTAATACTTATGCAATTGTGAGTGAGAGTATAGAAGCTTAAGGTGCTATTATGTAAAAAAGACTCTTAGAAATCGAGTTATATAATCGAATTTTTTTGTAGATTACACATTAATCTATTCTTTATTTTATATTTACGACGAATCGCGCATTTTGTGAGTACACTCAATACCTCGAATCGTTCCCGTAAATATGAACGTCATGAATAAAAGTCATCTTAAAATCATCGACGGAACTATCGAAATATATTTGCGAATTTAAATACACACATTTTATAAGAAATGACAATAAGAAAGTAAAAGCATCATTTCGTTTCATCAAGAATGGGGGAAATCTCGCTGCACGAAAAGTGCACACTACCTAAATTTCTAAATGCTTTCGGTAATCATTTCCTCGTTACTCTCATCCATGTCCTCCTGCTGTTCCTGTTCCGTGGGTGGTTCGTATGCTTTGTCTAACGGACTCGCCACTACACCACCCGCCCATACACTCATCTCCACCGCGAGTTTGTTAGAACCTTCCAACAACGGTCTGTAGCCGCCATGAGCTAATACACGCAGTAATGTCTGGGCAGTGAGACATACGAGATCCTGTTGTTCGAGTGTCATCGCGGTATGCACGCGTATATTACCACCTTCGCATGGATCGGAAATACCTGAAGAAAGTTGTTATAATCCTTGCAACATGCTGCGATTGAGGCAATAACTACGTCAATTATTTGGAACTATGATATGAATGACTCCCGCAATTGATATGACACATAGAAGACTTGCGTAGAAGTAGTTATAAAAATTATCCTTCTTCATGATGTCATAATTTGTAATGACCTAATCAAAGATCTTTAATTCCAAGCCGAACAAATTGATAACATAACCGCGAAATAATGATTTACAGTTTTTATACATAAAAACAAGTTTTAAATATGAAACTTTATATATGGAGATAAAATAAATGCAACTTTTTTAAGAATATTTTCCGAAAAACGATTCAACTATTACTCGATATTTATATATAGAAAATTTTTCAAATTTGAGATAAAGAAATTTCTCATTATAATTTTGTATGGTTTATCTTTAAACAAATAAATTAAAATTAATTAAAATACCTGCTGATCCTGGGAGGAATAGTCCAGAAGCGAGTAACTGTAATACTCTTTTATATGCCTGATTAATTGGCAATGCTTGTCTGCTGGGATTGTTCATTATGGCATTGTGTGCCAACAAGTCTAACATCCAAGGGGATAATGGCTCTAAACCTTCGAATCTGTTTCTGAGATCACGAAGTAAGCGTATTAAAACCTTAATGCTAGAATGATGAGCATTTTCCTCAAACCAACGGGAATGTCTGATAGCAGCAAGATGACCTATAAATTAAAACAAAATTATTCTCTAGTAACATTTATGAAAACGTGGCTTAAGTTACTTAATTACACAAAAAAAAATACGAGACAATTACCTTGACAAATTTTGACATCTAAATGTTGATCGGATTCCAGTTTGCGTAGATTTTGGTGCAGCGTGGTTATTAATACACGCACAGTGGCTTCGTTATTAGCAATATCGAATCCCCGTTCCGTCTGTATAACTCTGAATATCTCTTTCGGATTTACGGCTTTCAGGTCATTATTGACCTTGTTCCCGAGAGCTTCAACTGCCGTTTTCGTTGGCAAAGTTTTCAAAATAACAACAATGTCAGCGACATTGTGACCCTTTATCATTGTGCCTTTCTTAAAACTACCAACTTGTCTTACTTCTTCTAATTGCTACATTAAAAACACAGATGTATTTATAATTAATATATAATATATAATACAGAAAAAAAATATTAAATCTAAATGCGAGAATTTTTGATTGTATAATTAAACATGATATATACTTACACAGGCTTCAAAGGTTCCTGGTGCAACAATCAAATTATCAAGAACACTCTGCAGTTTAGTTACAAGATTTAAAATGGAAGTTTGCTCCTTTGGTGTAGGACACATATCAGAATTCTTTTTCAAAAGAGCTGTTTGAAAATCTGATTCATCTGGTGCAGGTTTAACACGTGGAAAAGCAGCCTCACATAACGTGTAGTCAAATGGATGACGTGGTAGAAATTGTTTTCGTGGAAAACCCATTCCACGTCCCATACCTCCTCGACCACCTCTGATCATTCCCCCGCGACCTCGTACCATGTTATTTCTGCAACAATAAATAATATAATATAATAAAATTATCTCAAAATTTATATAAATAACATATATTTGCATTATATTATTTTCTTTTATTCAAAGAAATATGAGATACATTATTATCTATTTATGTCAATATATTTGGGCTGCGTTCCGATATTCACTGCCAGTACTGAAAGGAATTTATATATATATATATATATATAATAATATTCTCGCACATCTAGAGAATAAAGATAGAGAAAAAAAGAACAAAATTTTAAAAGAATATATCGGATAAAAGATGCACATCAATTAAAATTCCAAGAAATCCAATTCCAAAAATTTCTAAAATGTTAACAAAGGATTTTTCGAATTGTGTGAGTACTGAAAATGAACACATTTAAATAATCACACAAATCCAGTAAATATCGGAACACAGCCTTGATATACAGATGTCTCAATTGTTCTAACTTCAGTGTGTTAAAATTTTATTAAAATATATTTCTCTTAAAAGTAAACAAATAACAGGGTTGTCTGCTTGCATCTCTAAAATTTAATTTGTCAAAATTTTGATCTTTAATACTTTGTAATAAAAATTATTCGTAACTTGCAAAATTATTGTCTTAGAAACGCACACATTTTAATGTTATTAATACATTATTATAATAACACATATATTAACATATTATTACAATAAGCATCTATGTGATTCAAAAAAATTGTGTAAAACTGACACACCCATGCATCTACATTTACAATGAAAGTAGATAGTAATAAAGATAGGTTATATTATGCTCTAGTAACAATAACAATATTTCATAAAATGTAATACGTTTGCATACACATATTTGACGAATGTCGAACATTTTCACATTCATCTCTGAGATAATACTTAAAATATTCATAAATGATACAGTATATATAAAAAAATCAATATGACGCTTCAGGATAATTAACCTAATCAACGCGTGTTTTCGCACTTAAAAATCGGAATATTTACAGCACGAGAAAGTTAGATCGGTATATTTTTTATACCTTATATAAATAATACACTTACCCAAAAGATGCAAATTGGAAAGACGTGATGACGGTTTATTAATAACCGAAAATAATTCGCCGCTTGACGTTTACCGCCGATCATAAAGCACAGTCTCTGATAATGAATAAGAGCGGCTATCCCGGCATTTTGGCACATACGATGTTTGCCATGTCTAGTACCACCATCTATATTCACTGGAAAAGCTGAAACTACGTAGCCAAATTTATTTGTCGATGCTACCGCGAGATAAAATCGCCATTTGCCATTTGGTGCTTGTCTGTACTACATCTATAAATTATGGAACAGGAATAGAACACATTTAAATAATCACACAAATCATCACAATTAAACATAATCACAATTTACAAGCGCAACAATGCAATCGATTTGTTTTTAAATAGAGAAAAAAATCGTTAACGTCACTAATTTCAAATTGGTTGAAATTGGTTGATTATCACAAAATAATAATACATTCATGATGTAATTCATGTTTTACATCATGGATACAATATATATAGAAATGTTATGTTTTATATAATTAAAAAATGGTGAAGACTCGCAAAGGATGGTATTTGGTAGACATCAAGACAGATGAAGATGATAAGAGGAAAAAGGATGAAAAAGAAATACAGTTAGAGATGAGACGAGCTGCAATGGTAAAGCGATGCGATGCCAAAATAGCTCGACGTCATTTGCAGGCCGAGCAACGAGAAATCTGCGAGAAGGAAAAATTATTACATGCACAAAAACTTATTGATCTGAAACAAAGAGAAATCGAAGTGACTAATAGATTGGCTGCTGAATTATCGCTACGTAAAAGTAAAGACTTACGAATTATATATTATTCACATATAAAAAATTATTTATTTATAAAAAATTGTAATTGTTTCTTTTTTTTATGTATTCTTCCATCTCTTTTATCTTCTTTAATTGTTGCGATATTAAATAAAATCAGTTCTTTTGCAAACTACACAGACGAAGAAATAAAATTAAGTCGGGAAAAATCCTTCACGCAATCATTATCGGATTGTGCTATGAAAGAAGCTCGATCACGTCTGATAGAGAAAAAAGTTAATTTGGAAGAGAGCCAGGCAAAATTAACGAAACTCTTGCATCAAGACGAAACCGTCGAGAAATTACAACAAGCTGAACAAGAGAAAAAAAAGCAGAATTTGCGCACTGATCTACAAAGACAAATAATGGATAATCGTCGACGAATTCAAGAGAAAAGAAATAAAGAAAAAGAGCAAGATCGTAAGATGATAGAGCAGACGATGCAAAAAATTCAGGAAGAAGATGCAAGAATAAAAAAAAAGAAAGATGACAATATGATTCTTCTGAGAGAAGAGATGACTGCATCTTTAGCAGCTAAGGATGCGTGGGAAAAGAAATATAGAAAAGCATTAAAGGATGAAGACGAGAGAATATCTCGTACAGTTGCGGAAAAGGAAGCTCGACAGGAGAAACTGCTCAACATGAAGGTAGAGTTCGATCTCTTCTACAAAAATATATACATAAAATTTAGTCTATATCATAAATTTATGTAATAAAAATTTTAATAACGCTTGTTTTTTATAGACAGAATTACGCGAGATAAAAGAAGCAGCGATAGATAAAGTAGCTAAAAAACTGCTAGATAACATATATAAAAAAAAAGGATGTACAAATGATTAATGAACAAATCCACGATCGATTAATAAAAGAAAAAATTCTTTGAAAAAAAGCGTTGTGTGTGCACATGAACAAATTATCTTGTACATTTCACATTTTATCTAGCATTTATTGGTATACAGGTATGTACAAATCGCGTTATTCTTCACGCGAATTCCTGTTATATTTGTACAAAGTCCGTGTAAAAATACAGCAGCCCCATCTTATATCAATTACAAGTTTATGGTTTTTTACGCGATAAAAGTTAAAATAAAATAACAGTCTCGCCTCTCGGACGTATCTAATATTCCGAATAGGTTCGGATCGAGACCACTTGTGCCCTCGACTTTGTCGATCCGAGTGTGTCGTATCATTTGGCATGCGAGGATTTTCCCTCCTCCCCCCGCTACTGCTAACTATTAAATGGAACAAGAAGCACTCGAGTTTAACGGGAATGATTACAATATAAGTACGAACAATCAATTTGTCCTCGGTTACTGTCTAGTCATCATAGTCATTCAGCGCTCTAATCATTTGCAGATCAAAAATACAATGTTTAGCTACAATTACTGGACTACGATACTTTTTCAAAGTCATACGATAAATATGCATACACATAAAAAGAGATTTCACGCCACATGGCAATATCAGCAGTTTTTCCTGCTAGATGATTTGCACGACAGTCTTCAATCCCAATAAATTGTAAAAGCTTAAAGAAATCTTTGTAAAAACTTAAGGAATTTTTTTTATAAAAGTAGTTTTGTCAATCTTACAAATCTTGCTCTAAAAAATACAACAAAATTGAAAGAAATTTAATTTCCATTTAAAATTTCTTATTGTTCCTTTCTATTCTCACATTTTTTAGAAAATTCAAGTAGAAATCAGATTTCTTTTCGGTGTGTGTTTTCTCTCTCCTTAATATATGCTTCACAAAGCTTTTTGATTTTCTCGTTGATTTTTCCTTAATAGTACAATCATGTTCCTATTGACTTAGTAGTGTTAAGTGATGTAAAATAGTTTCAATTAAATATGCGCGATTCAATTCGTCAAATAAGAAAATAGAATTGTGCAATTAAGTTCTTATGCTAGAGAAAATGTGCTTAAATAAAATAAATAAAAATATTTAATTAAATATTAATTAAAATACATCTTTTTAGAAAATAATGCAAACATGATATCTCTAAGATATGACTAATACCTATTTTTCTTTTAAAATCCGTCCATTCTTCAGTAAATACTTCGGATTTTGCTTTGATTTTACTATAAATTGATTACTTTCTCGATTCGTGCTTATTAACTAATCTTGCACTAATCAGAACTCGCCGCAATTCGGGATGAAATTAGAGATTCAAATGGGGTAAAATCTTTTCCATATGTATGCGTTTTTCATCGCACTCGTCAAATTTACGTAGAAAATTGTTTAATCGCGTCTACAGATTTGATTCATTTCGTCGCGACTGAATCTCTCAGTGGACAGACTATACAAAGGTAATACCTACAATTTATCATCTACACATTACGGAATCTGAATATCTCAGCATTTCTGTTGTCTACTTGCTGATTCTACGTCCAAGCTACATATGTTCTCTCTTGCTCTCCTCCTTTCTTCTTTTTTTCTTTTTTGCTTCGTTCAGATTACAACGCAAACCTTACAACCAAAGCGGAATACATTCTCTAGTTATTCGTACGATGTATATAAGTATGTATCACAATATATATATATATATATATATATATATATATATATATGGATATAGATATAAAACGAAATGCAAAGTTAACGGATATTCGGATTAAACGTTCGCCACGTTTAATTAAGTAATACACAGCAGTTTTTCGCACAGCGACTAGGCACAAAAAGCGAATCGCACTACTGGATTATAATCGACTAAGAATTCGGAGATTAAAATCAAAATTTCCATGAGCTCGGATTTAAATGGGATACATAGAGACATATGTTATGCAAAAAACATTTTTTTTCCATTCTTTTTTCTTTCCGACATACGGAAACACATATGTTAATAGCCAATATTCATAAATAGCCATTGCAAATTAGAAATTCTTTATTCAAAATTAAGATATGTTAAAATAAATTCCATAAGAACTTGAAAACAAAAAAAGTCAAGAACTTCGAATCTAATTTTTATCTCGAAAAAAACGTGTCCAATTTTGCAAAGTAATTTTTTTTTCGATTCATATCAACTTTTACCTTGATATAACATCGAGAAACTCATTGAAATTACATCGATTTCGATTCTCAATTAATTCAAAAGAAAATAATATAACAGCTCGATTTTAAAAATAAAAGCGCTTCTTTACGAGTCAAACAATCATGTCTATGAGTTCGTGTAAAAGTAACATCACACATCTTCTAAATTAAGTACATTTACGAGTGTGTACAAACACACACAGACACATACACACACATACGCGCGCGCATACACATATACACACAAGCGGATTTTTATTACAAACACCACTTTCAGTAGTTAATGGAACCAATTATGTAAGTATACAAAACATAGTCAGCCAAGAGTATAAGTGCTAAGACAAAGCATAGTTTCTGCAAAGTCTTTGTTTACTTATACAAGTAAATGCGTAATAGACGTAAATGTACTGCCTTTACAAGCTTTGGAGTTGAAACATCGTTCATTTATCAAATTAGGCTTTCAACTGCATCTGACGAATGAATATATAACACGTACCGTCATGGAAATGTAAATATTAATATTTGTTATCACGATAGCTGAATTTAATGTAAAAATGAATCATACGAAATATGTCTTTTAAAAAGACATAATTAATCAATGATATATAATGACTTCTTTTAATTCCAAACAATATACGATTCAATAACTGAGAATTTTCATGAGTTTAGTTACTTACATAATTCTAAATAGAGAGAATATGCAGTTTGGAAATTAAATTAATTACATGATTCAATTACACTGAATTGTGTGTGTACGTACACACATGGCGGTGTCAATAGTTTTAATTGAATTAAAAGAAACCTATCAAACCCTGTTTACATCGTTTAGTAAATTTTATACGTACAAAATAGATAAAGTTATATATTTATCTTATTTCCTTTCCTTTTTACTTCCTTCTCCTAAATAATACTTTTTGTTACGGAATGATATAAAAATGAATACCGCCAACGAGCGTATTAATATTATTAATGTTATTATCCTTGAGTATCGAGTCCGTATCGATCCGACTTTGTTTGTTACTTTACTATACAGAGTGACAACTCATACGTGCACGTTTAATATGTCAGGCAGGCAGTATGAGAAGTCGGCGATCATAAACGGATCTTAAAAGAGGATACATTAACCGTACTCATACGTGTTGGCTAATAACAGCTAGTAAAGTCGATTTCATAACGATTAACCGAACCGAAGCCGACTCTTGAAACGCGAACACGTGAATACTCTCTGTACCGAGATACATTTTTTTTTTAGCACCCGACTGCTCGCGAGCCGCGAGTGCAAGGAACTTAAACTCAGCAAACGCTTTCGATGCGCAAGAAACACACAAGCCAATTAATAAGAATCGATAGAGATCCGTTTTATATAACGGATCCTAGAATATATATTTGTAATACAAAGACAAAAATATTTTTCGCACTATCACTTCATCGCGAATTAAATTTAATGTATTTATATATTGTATTTCCTTCTCTTAATTTAATTCTTGGAATTATAAAAATGTTTCTCTTTCTATATTGATAAGTATACAATATATTTGATTGTATAGATTTTTTTCTCTTTACCTTATCAGAAATATGTTTGGAAAAAAATCTAAATGCAAACAGAACGATTATATCTATCGATTCTAGTTAATCCACTTATCTTTCGCAGAGCGAACAGGAATGTCTGGGCAGTAAAGCATATTTACAAATGGAAATTACGCTCGGAAATACGGACAAAGGCGTAAGTACACCAAGTGTTAGCACCAGAGATATATTCGGAGTTGGAGATTGAGTATAAAATATAGGAGGAACGACGTGTCTCCTACGATAGTAATCGCGAGCAACGGAAAACTCGACGGAACAGGCATCGTTAAAGAGATATTGTACAGTCTTAAAAATATATAAGCAATTCGCCGTTGACTCGACTCGCAATTTTACTCGCGGACGCGCTAAAGACACGAACTAGATCCCCGACAGGATGCTTCACGAATTGTAGCAGATTAGGAATTGTTGACGATAGGAATCTCTGAAGTGAGTAATAATGTTACTTTAACGCGTTACAGGCAGGTCGGGCGGTGAAGATACGAGAGGACCTTCCGACGATCTTTTCAAAGTTGCCTGACGTCCTAGATAGACGTCATCTCTTAAATGGACGTCAACTCATTAATGTCAGATTAACTCTCTGATCGCGCGCGTGATATACTAAGCTTTGTTCCTCTGCGTCAATATCATAGCCCTAGCTATGATAAATATAGCTAATATATGTATGATACGTTACATTACAATAATAGCTATAACGTAAAATACACATTAATTACATATATCATAACGAAAATTATAATTTGCAATGTACAATGTATTTTGTAATGTTTTTAGCTATATTATATAGCTAGGGTTATAATATAAAATATGTAATAGTAATATTACAACTAGATCTAAAATATAAAATTTTTTTTATAGCCGTATCATATAACAACGACGATGTAGAAATTATAGCTACATTTTATAATTAAGGCTAATTTAGAAAGGACCGATTAAAATCAATTAATCAAAGCCATCTATGCTTTAACGCATCTTTCCTTTTGTCATCTTCTCGACCACAATCGATATATCGTCAATATATAAATGAAAATTTCACTTTCACCAGGTGTGATTTTCCTTAAGCGTCAAAAAATAGGGTACAGAGAGTAATAGCACAGGCACAGTGTAAAGAGATATTAAGATAAAGCATTGCTTTCAATACGTTTTACTTTTTGAGTATGATATCAGTTGCACACTGACCGCCGAAAATTTAAAGCTATCATCGACGAAAACGAATTGTAAGACATAATCTGCTTTCACAGTTTCGTGAAATATTAGGCGAGTGTGATCAGTGTATATATACTTGCGGCGTTTATTTGCCAGTCATTCTTAAACAATTGATTTGGCCCCTTTCTTTGGAAGAAGAAAACTGGCTCGATCGTCGAAAACTAACGCCGGTGCAACGTTCGTCATCGTCCAAGCGCAAATTTCGTTTGTCCTAATCGCGCATGAAAAACATTTTCATCGTACTGACAATCACAGCACGAGCAATCATAAACATATATAACCGGTCGTCGCGCTATCGCTTTACTCTAGAGATGAGGGAAGGAAGAACGATAAGAATCGATATGTCCTCCCGACCTATACACAGGACAATCGGCAAATAGTTGAAACACGAACCGAAACATCGATAAATTCGGCAATAAATCAATTAGACTACTCTTCCCTTCCACGTTCTCGGACGGGATTTCTTTAATACACGCACTAACGATTCAACGCATTTATCATCCCGCGCGCATATCCTAATAAAGTAATCTCTTTCTTGCGCTAGAATAAATACATAAAAACTACTTACAAGCCGCGTAGCGACTCGAAACAAACTCGAACACACTCGTTCCTATCGAAGCCCATGGTCACGTGTCCGAAAAAAGAAACTCACTCTCCGATAACAGTACTTCCAAATCAGAGGGTACGGTATGCAAATCGGAGTTGGCCGGTTCCGGCAGATCACTACCGCTGTTCCCAATGCCGGTAGGCGCGATTTGTCGCGCTCTGCCTATTCTAACTCGATCCTTTCTCTTGGCCGCGGTTCGCAGAAGTACTCCAGTTCTCGGCAGCTTCGCGGTTCTGCTGCTCACATTAGCGTGACTCGCAGTCGCGCCTGCTGGTGCCTGCGCCACCTTATCAGATTTGCGTAGCTTTACACTAAACCGGAACGGCGGCTTGTACACTACTTGGAGTCTCGCCCGTTCTTTTCTGGCGAGAGAACCCGATGAATTTTTCAATTCCACCATTCGTCCAGCTTCCAGAGCGCCGGAACGTCGGGCAGGTGTTGAAGCTTGTTGCCTCGACACCGGCGCCACGGGTTGCCTGGATGCTACCACACCACCCCCGCTAGCTGTTAGACCCACGGGAGTTGACTTGCTCTTTGGCAAACCGCTTATATTAGTCCGCGTGCCAATATCTGGTCGGCATTGCGAGGATGCTAATAGCCAAGAGCGCACCTTGCTCTTAGGATCTGCATTTGGCTCTGGTTCTTTTTCTGCCTGGATTGCCGAATAGTCGATTACCTCCTTCCTATGCTGCTTCTTGCGCTTCCTCTTATCGTTATCGCCGCCGCTGCTGCCACCGGCCAGATTATTACCGGTTTGTCCCTTATCTTTCACCGATGTAGTCTTTTTTCGTTTATTCTCCTGCGCCGCAGCAGCCAAAGCCTCGGCCGGCCTCTTCCGCGCGAAATCATCCACCTGCCCGGTAGATAATCTTTTCGTTTGCTGATTTTGTTGTTTCTTCTTCGTTATAACATCCTTTAAAAGTACGAACGAGAAATTTAATCCAAAATGTCAAACTCAATATGGGATTCTACTATATGAACACTTAAATTAATATTCAGATAATTATTTAATAAACGATAATCACTATATCACTGATATGATAATCTTCTAATACATTTTTCCTTTTTAAATTAATCCCTTACTTTATTGTTGGATTTGTCAGCGTGGCCACCTTCTTTATGCCTGCGATGACGCCTTTTTTCCCTGACCTTTCGACTAAGAGGAAGCTTGGCGCGCACTGCTGGTGGATGCACCGTCACTCCTTCCGCACCCTCCGGCGGAAGTCGCACCGTTTCCGTTGTAGAACTGTGAATTATCGTGACAGACTTTAACTTCAAGTCTGGTCGCTTGCCCAGTAATCTCATGCTGGCCACCTAGAAAAAGAGAAAAAGATTGTTGATTATTTGTAAGTAAATTTCAATTTTATTTTCTATTTATTTCTTGGCAGTACAAGAATTTAAAAATATATGGAATACTGGAGATACTAATGCCACAAATATATACTTCTTCATATATTGACATCCTTAGTTTACAAAATAACTAAATCGATATATAATTTACGTTCAAATTATCATTTTATTCAAGAAGTAATTAAAGCTTGTACATTTACTAGCAACTATAGAAATTTTTGCTTCTATATAACATTTTAATCAAATTTACATATCTTGGAAAAAAACTATAAATAATTCTATAATACACAATAATATGAAATAGATAAAGAGTAATTAATTCCGTTATTATACAATAAATATTATAGAATTGAAATATTCAAATAAAGCTTACTTTGATATATCCCTACACTTACTCTCGTCATGTTTCACTTTTTTCCGTAGTCGTTTCTAACAATAAGCATTCAATCAAATTCGTTGTTGATTAAAAATGATAGATAAAATCGATAAAAATTGGAGAAGTTTAGAATTTGATTTTGGCAATAAATAGCAATTATCGGTTCAAGAGAAAATATAGATAATGTTTCTAATAATAAACGTACCAGTAATGATATCGCTGCTAAAATTATCAGAGCGGCGGCATACCAATGTTCGGCAACCCACCGTCTGAAAGTAGCGAGGCTCTCGTCGGATAATAAAAGCTTTCTTAAAGTTGCTAATGGACCGCTTGGATCAACCTGAATCAAATATTTTAATTAACACCAACTATACATCTCTATTTCTACGTCATTATGTCGCTTTTTTTAATTCTATTTACCTCGCGACATTTTTGAAAGACATCACAGTAGCCGTTATAATCGTTACATGGAGTTCCCGGTTTTGAGAACATGTCAGGAATATCATACGGTGGAGAATTCCAGTCGAAAGAAGACCTGCAAAAAAATATTTTATAAATAATTAAATCTCAATCAGCTAATTTATTGAAGAATAGAGAAAATTTTATTGAAATTCCAATCCACAAAATAATACAGATTAAAAATGATAGATAAAATCGATAAAAATTGGAGAAGTTTAGAATTTGATTTTGGCAATAAATAGCAATTATCGGTTCAAGAGAAAATATAGATAATGTTTCTAATAATAAACGTACCAGTAATGATATCGCTGCTAAAATTATCAGAGCGGCGGCATACCAATGTTCGGCAACCCACCGTCTGAAAGTAGCGAGGCTCTCGTCGGATAATAAAAGCTTTCTTAAAGTTGCTAATGGACCGCTTGGATCAACCTGAATCAAATATTTTAATTAACACCAACTATACATCTCTATTTCTACGTCATTATGTCGCTTTTTTTAATTCTATTTACCTCGCGACATTTTTGAAAGACATCACAGTAGCCGTTATAATCGTTACATGGAGTTCCCGGTTTTGAGAACATGTCAGGAATATCATACGGTGGAGAATTCCAGTCGAAAGAAGACCTGCAAAAAAATATTTTATAAATAATTAAATCTCAATCAGCTAATTTATTGAAGAATAGAGAAAATTTTATTGAAATTCCAATCCACAAAATAATACGAAACATACGAGCATGGTTGATTTTCCCCAGGAAGTCGGCAACAGAGCTCGCAAGCCTTCGTCGGCGGATCGTTCGGACCTGGTATGCATTGGCAAGATTCCAATCCGTATGCCAAGCAAATGCTGCCAGTGCACTCCTTATTATAAACAAAAGTTTCATATATGTGAGATAAATATATCATACATTTAATAAAAGTATCAATATGTTCTTAATAAAATTAATATCTACCCCCATAAAACAAACCAGTTCGCGATTGCAAATGGTTTTATTGGGCTTATTAATAGACGGCGGACAATAGGGAGAACGACCGTCGCAGAAACTCGCGTCGCGACAGCCATTGTCGTCCCTGCACTTGTCTCCGAAACGGAGATTACACTCGGCGGTACAGCACGGACCCTGAAAAGAGAGAAGCAAACAGAGCCGTCGAAATTACATCATGTCGTGCATGCAGTGCGCCGTATAATTACATTACGCATATCGGTGAATAAATTGCCTAAAGTAAATTTCGTAGAATATCGCTTGAATTAATTAATCCCTTTTTCTAGATATTTAAACAATTAAATATTTAAACGTCTTTTGAACATATAGATAATTGGATAAGAGTGAACATTTGAGAATTTGTATACTTAGATATTTGATATTTAATATTCAAGAGATTGAAAAGATACAAGCGTGACTCTAGAGAAGCTTCGAATTAAATTTTAAGAAAGAAAAGTCATCCTAAAATTCCCTCGACAATACAGTCCAATTCGAGTTCCTTTTTTTTTTTGTAAACTTCATACATACTTGACTAGGACTACACACGGAGCGTGGTGTGAGCGTACACGGAGTCTCCTCGGCCGGCGGATAACGGCGTTGAGGAAAGCAACACGAGTCCCGGCAATCCTCTTCCCAGCCGCAGTCGCACTCCTCGCCTTCCTCCACCACGCCGTTGCCGCACAGAGATACTTGCGGTTCTACAATAAAAAATGCAAGCGCCGCCAAGTTATATGGAGCAACGGAGCGCAGAATAATTGGAGAAGATGTGGAGCATTCGATCAACGTTCGTTTCTCGTCGCAACGTCAACGATATATCGCATTCGTCGCGCGTTGCTCTCCATGTATAAAACTCACCGGTAAAGCATCCCTTCGGTGAACGTGCCTTGCTGTTGAGCACGGGATTTATGGCGTTCAGGCTGCATGGGCTGAAGCGATTGTTGTTACGCTTGTCACCACTGGTAGCACGGGCAAACATTATAAAGTTGCCATCCTCGCCGCCCGGTGTACATTGTTCCGGATCGTGCTGGATGAGAGAAGACAAAAAGACATGTATAGCGCGTAAGCGTCACTTGTATATTGACGGAATTACATAACATATAACACCTCGCGGAATGTGGAACGTGTGGCTTTTTAAATGCGATTGACGAAAGCATATACTACGTACCGGCGAGCCAAAGTTGTGGCCGATCTCGTGAGCCAAAGTAACGTGAGAGACCGCAGGCGGTACGTGCTTCCCGTAATTTAATAGGGTCACTATGCCGGTGTTGAGTGACTTCATGCTACCACGGTAATGCTGCAACGTTATTTCATTATCGATTATTTTTCGTTAATGTTCGGTCAATGACGATACGTCGCAATAATACGCAATGATCGAGAATTTATAACGTAACATCATCAATCGATAATTATAGCATTTTCATCAAAGTAGATTAGCTAATAGATCCTACAATGGCAAAGATAAAATTGTATTTCAAATTTCATCGGATCGATTATTGTACATTTTTCAGTTTTTTTCAATTAATTATTTTAAATAATATATTAAGAATTTAACTGCAAATTTATAGATAGATAATAAAATCGACACATGTTTTACGGAGAAAAAACATCTTTACCTTTTGTCTACACTTACCCCGTTCTTCTCACATACGCCGCCGGCGTTCTTCAAATCGCCCGTCCACGCTAATCCCAGAGTTCCCATTTCAAAGTCGCGATACGTGAACATATAAGCCAGGCAAAATGCGTCATAATCCTCCTCTATAACGAGGTAAACGTCGAAGCATTATCAATTCAATCGGTTTCCTTCGTTCGAACATATCGACATTATGCCACACGTTGAGTTTTAACGTAAATAATAATGTCCTTACCTGAGAAGAGCTCTAAATATTTCTCCACACCGTAATTGCCTGGGAAACGATAATTAGGATCTCTCAGCGCATCCTCGCTGTGCACTTTGACACGTTTTATCATAAAGCTGATGTTATCCGGCCGTCCATCTTGATTGAAGTCTGAAAAGAAATATGACACTGTTCGAAAATACCGTTATTTCTTATAAACTGCGTATTCATCACGGAACTAAATAATAATTCATTTAAACTCGCGTATTATTCTAGTCTCGTTTCTTGCTCCTCTATGTTGACGACTCCCATGTGATTACCGTTCTCTGGTCCAAACAGAGTAATTTGCTTATAATGCAGAACTCAGTGTGTTATACGAATGGAACAGTACAATAATGAAAATACCGTATATAGAAACAAACAGAACAGTGTATATTTTGCAGAGATGTCACACAAGTATATGTAATAAAATAAATAATTTTCATTAAAATATTTTAAGTACACATTTTCGTGTGTATTTTCATGAATGTATCAAAAATATATTTCACGTAATGTTAATTTTAATATTATAAAAAGCTGGATAAATATAGTCTTATATAATTTATTTTTATTTTCAACAATAAATTAAAATGTATCTCTTTCCTTATTATATATTATTATTATT